CCCTAGCCAGCTGGCTGGGGAATTCTGGGACTTGAAGTCCACATGTCTTAAAGTTGCCAAGTTTGAGAAGCACCGATCTATGGGTGGGTGTGTGTGTGTCAGAAAAGTTAAGTGGTACCTATGACCATGCAATTGAAGCTTCTCCCCTTGCAGTCACCATCTTGACTTTCTGACACCCCCCACAGATGACCCTGATCGCAAATCCATTGTCCCACAAAGTAACAGGGCCTCTTGATTCAGTAAAATGTTTTTGTCCCCCGTTACAAAAGAAACTCTGAGGCTGTGTTGTTTTGGGAGGTGCCTCCCCCCTCCCTTCCTCCTTATCTGGAAAGATCTCCCATTGACTTCTGGGACATGGAGAAGATTGTGTAGTAAAATCTCCCCCCCCCCCTTTTTAGCGTGCATGTGTATTGAAAATACACACCCAACCTCTCAAAGGCCAAAACATGGAATGCTCTTCAAAAAGACATTTAAAAAAAAGTGATGTGGTCCTTCAAGCAATAGACCTTGCTTCAGAAGCCAGTGGTTCTATTTGTATAATACACTAACCATGGTTAACTGTACTGTGGCTTGCTGGATGAACCCCAAGGGCTTGGTTTACTCAAGTCACCGTTCTAAAAAGTAATCACATCGCTAGGCTTGCAAAATTGAAAAGTCAACCAGCGTGTTGTGGGAACTTTGTCAAGAGGGGGCAAGAAATTTTAGTATCTGGATGGACAGCAATGTTTGGGTGAGGGGAGAGAGGGGGGCATAAGGGGGAGTGACCTCCCATGCATCATGGCCTCACTGCACAAATGACGCAACTGGTGTCACTTTTTAAAACAAGAACTCCAATCAGATCTACTGGGGCTTTAACTGGGCCTCCTTGGTGTCATCTGAAATTGTGTCCTTGGAGCAGTGACCTGTGAAGTCATTGTGATGTCTGTCAAATGTCCGTGCTGGGAGATCAAAAAGGTGCCAGCGTTAATCCTCGCTCTGAAATGGCTTGCGGGGTAAAAAAGCGGGTTCAAAACATTTTCAAGTAACGCAGGCAGAAATAAAGCATCTCGTTTCATTAGCAGCCCTGGAATGATATGAGGGTATTAGAGTTTAACCCGAATTGCATTGTGTTCCCAAAGGTGGCTAGTTTAAGGGACATGGAGCACCCAACAACCCTTCCTCCAGCAGAGGGGAAAAATAGGATGACCATTCACGTTGCCCAACAGTAGGGCCGGCTGTAATGTAGAACAGTGTTGCTCAACCTCGGCAACTTTAAGATGGGTGGACTTCAACTCCCAGAATTCCCCAGCTGGCTGGGGAATT